GTATTTAATTATACAGTATGATCAGCTGGGCCAGAAAGTTCTCAGCAGATTCAAAACCAGCAAGGGCCTTGATTATATGTACTATAATAGGGAGGAGGGAGGAAAGCGTTTAGCAACACTTTTGTATGAGACAAAACATGCAAAGACAGACCCCAGTACAGCAGCAATAGAATACTTGTTTGAGCATGCCATTATTTTTTTTTAAAAAAATCCAAACCGAGAGCAACCAATTTAAACCAAAGGTGAATCTTAAAACTTCCTTGCATCTATTTTCTTACCGACCTATTTCCACTGGCAGCAATTCCAGGATTTGCTCTGGAGATTTCCAGGGCTGAATTAAATTAAGGGGTACATTTCACAAACAGCTACGCTTCCATGAAATGTGCTGCTGTCTTGGCTGATCAGTACAGTGTGAAAGTATTTATAGATCTTCAACCTTGTCAGGTACACTCAGCCTGATACCAGTTCAAATCAAAGCTTCATCCTCCTAGGACCCTTTAGATACTAGCAATGGCAATCTCACGTTCATAAATCCAATGCGATTCTTCAAATAGCTATTTGCTCTTATTAAACTTTTATCAGACTTTTTCCCCCAGTGAGATTGTTACATAGCCACTGTACAGTTACTTGGTTCCTACAATGTGCTAATCCATAATATAGATGAGGCCTCACAACATATGTCTTGTAGGCTGCACACAGCTTGCCAAGCAACCTTGTGCGACCCACCAATTTTTTTGAAGTAATAAATTTAGAGCCACCACTGCTAACTTCAATGTTCCTGCTCCTCCATTAGCGACAGAACAGCTGATTGACATTTCCAGTGTTTCTTTCTGACTCTTGAGGGTTTTTAGTTTATCAATGTGGCTCTTTCACCTTGATGAATTGTGCAGACCAGGTATAGACCGATTTTCACTTTGTACAATGTCTAGACTTAGGCACTGTGGTTTGCAAACATGGTTTATGACTTAGCATTGTGTTTGCACCCAGATATTTTGGGTTTTTTTAAAGCAAGGCATTGTTTTAAAAAATCGTAATTTAATTTGATGTGCAAAGCCAAGTTTTAAAAACTCTTCTTCCCACTCCAGTTCTCGGAAGGACCATTAGATTCTTCTGATTAAACAAGTGGGAAAAAAATGAACAAACAAAACAATTCTGAGTATACTCTTAAGGATGAGATAGAGCGTTGCACTAAAAAGGGACTGAAGACTGCAAACAATAAATTTTATATTTTCATAAAATCTGCATACCCCAGCACATCTATATCTAGAGATTATTATGATTTGAATAGAAAAACACCATGCCCTCCTGACTAGAAGATTGCGACCTGCGTGCCTCTGCTATGTCACATTAAGATGGCCTTTTCTACATACCCTACTGTTGGATTATCTAACCCTTTAAACAAAAAGTATTCAATACAATGTGGCTTTGCAGAAGCTGTCAGGACTATTCTCCATTACTCTAGTTAAGGAAATTAGAAATGAGGGTCAATATACTCTTTATTTCTTGAAGAAATAATGTTTTTAAATAAAGATTTGTCTTCCAACCATTCTTTACATGCAAGGCTGTCCCAGCAATGATAGTGGTGATGAGTTACATAAATCCTTTATCCAAATGTCCAAGAGATGAGCCTCATTGCTAATAACTAAAAGCCAAATACAAACACTCCATCTATGCATTGCTGGGAATAAAATCAAGTTTTCACTGCTTTTGCCTTGCATGCTCGTCCCTCCAATTCATTGGCCATGTTATTTTAACATTGCAGAGAGGAAATGGGATAAATGTTTACGGAGTAATTTTGAAATCCTTACAGGGGGAAAAAAGTGAGAGGAAAACGTGAGCAAATAAATTCACATAGTCACAGACTATCAAACAGCCTGGATGTATGGTAATTAAATTTCAAAGATTACTACCAACTTAAAGAGGAAAGGCGAAAGGAGGAGGAAGAACTGCAGGGAGTTGTCTTAATTTATCTTTTCAGGCAGCAACAAGAAGGAAATGTAATAAGAAAGGCCTATACATAGAAATATTTAATGTTTTCATACGTTCAAGTCTGCATCTCTCCTTGGTACCCCCATTCCTATTTCATATCTAAGAATATGACAGATATGGGGCCTACAGATCTTTGGAAAGTCTCAAAAGGGGGGAAAAAGGGCCTTTCCCATGTTATATTTTAATCACAAATCACTCATTAAATCTCTCCCTCTTCCTTCCCAAGACCTTAGGGCTGCTCCACCCATAATTGACCTATGCAAGGTTTCTTTCAGGAGTTTTACCCAGCTAACTTCCAGCCAGGAAGCACTTTCGCATAACAAGCAGAGGAAAGGAAGGGCAGAGCCATTTTTCATTGACAAAGAAAAACAAGGCCAGACCCAGAAATTTTGAGTGAAACTATGTAGGCAAGTCAATCCACCTGCCCTGCTTCCTGGAGTGCTTCTGGGTAAAGGAAGGTTTTTATTTTTTTTCCCCCCTTTTCGCCTAATGAAAGAGATAATTATAATTTTCACTCAATGTATGCAAATGCCAGATAAGCAGCCTAACATTATCTCATTATGTTTTCTGATGAAATGAAGTATGTGCAAGGGCGTACATTTTGCGCCCTTTTTTTTTTTTCCTTTGCTCTCGCTGTGTTCTGTGCTCTTGATGCTGTTGTAACCATAGCCAGGCAGATAAGGATTTCCAAGCATTCCAAGTCTTCTTTAAATCTGAGGAATGCATGACATTCAAAGCAATGGACCCATTTCAAGGATTGTACTTCTGTACCCATTTCACACTCTGGCCCATTTTGGACACAAAATGTGGGTGCAGCCACTCTTGGAAGCAAAGAATTTTTAGTGATCTTTCAGAGGATTCAAGTTTTGTCTGATGCAGACAAGAGGCTGAATTGCTCCTCTAGGCTACAACTATATTTTTAAAATTAAAATAAAGAGCTGTTATTTTCATTCCCCAAAGTGTCCCTACTTTTCCTGTAAGCTTGAAATTATCCCTACTTCTTTAACAATTGTTCTGAGCTAATAAATGACAGTTGATAATCAAGACTGACCAACCACAGTTCATGGGTAGTATTAGTTAACCTGAATTTGTTTTAATGCTGGCTAGATAGCCAACAAGGCTGTTTCACTAGGAGCAGAATCTAGTTAATGTATTACATTCTTGCATCCAGTTAATATATTAAAATTATTAAAAAGTAGAGTCTCTCTTTCAGAATTAAAAGAGAACTCTAATTGAAAACAAATTCATTCATTCATTTATTCTATCCAAATATTCTCCTCTACAGTGTAGGGAAAAAAAACATACAGCCTTTCTTGTGTTCCTAACGTTACTAAACAATTGTTTATATCTAAGGCAAGTTTTTATAGTGTTCCATACTGAAATTTTGGGTGTGCATGAGACTTAACCAAGTTCTAGATATCAAAGCAGAACATGGCAATTTTGAGTGGATTTTTATTTAATTGCCTCATGGGAAGTAGATTCTGGGCCTAACTACAGTTCTAATGCCAATCTGTTTCTTTGTGGTTAGTGGTCCTGCAGCAGCTATAGGAAAGGAGAACATGTTGTTATTATATAGAACACCATGGTGGGAGAAAGAGGGGGTAAAGTTTCAATAATATATTTGCCATTAATCAGAGTTATTGTTTTAATCAGGTCACTACTGATCATTTAATCAAGGTGTTACGGTACAGAGCAGATGTGTCCAACCCTGACAACTTTAAGACTTGTGGACTTCAACTCCTAGAATTCCCCAGACAACCAAGACTTGAAGTCCATAAAACTTAAAGTTGCCAAGGCTGGACACCCTAAGGAAGATGACCACTGCTAAAGCAACAAAGGGTAAAACATTTTTAAATCCAGAATGAGATAACATTCGAAAGTATCTCAGGCAGATGCCTTCCGAATTCACTGGACTATAAGGAAGAGGAAGTGCAGCACAATCTCACAAAGTCCTGTTACTATAGCTAATCTCAATCTCTGCCATCTTTCCAGTGGAGTTGATTTTCTGGTCTGATCTACCTAGTGAGGCTGACACATGGGGGAGGGAGTACATAACTTTGCCACATGGGTTTGTTTTATTATTCTTCCTGAACAGAGATGTGGTGTTCTTTTTTAAGTGCATCAACCAGCTAATCTGGGCTATCAATTGATATATTCTGTGTAGGGTTATTGAATTCTTCTTCAGTAACTCTTGTTCCATTCTGTCCAATACATTCTTAATATAGCTTTTGCTATTTTTTAATTTCAAAACATAGTGATTTATCTACCTCACGTCTACCCCTTTTGATAGCAAGCACTTGTACCACATTCATGAACAAACAACATTATTTTTGGACCATCAAACTAGAGGTAGTCTATCACTGAAATTCAGAGATCTTCCAGTATTTCAGTCCTTCCTAACACTATCATACAACTTGAATTTTGGATCTGCTAGATAAAACCTCTATGACCCTTATTTGAATCTAACATTGGCTGGATACAAAACAACTATCAGAAACTCTTAAACGTAAAAAGAGAAACCAGTATTGCAGGATTCGTGCCACATTGTTTTACATGGAAATGATGGCTGGAAGCCAAAATAACATTGTTCACATGACTGCATTTCTTCATGTTTACACTGCTGCATTTTCCAAGCAATTTTGTATGCAGATGCATGAACTTGTAAAAGTCAAGTTAGTTTCAACCATATATTCTATGAACTAGTAGAATCTGAATTACTGTGGCTATGCTTCTTCATAATAACGGGGTTTTTTAACATGGATTTATTCTTACATAAACAACCCCATATAGGAATTTGACTGTGTAAACTAGGATTAAGAGACAAGCCTTTGAAGTCATATCCTAGGTTGTAATAAATAAAGCTTTAATCTATGATTCTATTACATGAAATATATATACTAGTGATTTTTTTTAACTTTTTCTGGTTCATAATATTCATTCATTTCCCATTATAAATCTGAGAGAAAGAGAGATTACACATGATTTGCTAAGTAAAATAACTTTAGACTTACCACCAAATAAAGCATGGTATAGAGTGAGAAGGAAGCATGTCCAGAGAAAAATGATTTCCTGAAAAAGAAAAGATATGAAGCATTGTATTCCCTCTGTTATTTGAATAAATGGTCGTTTACTCTGCTTTATCATCTCTTAAGGTGAAAAATCCACAGAACTAAAACTCTTTATTCTACCCAAATTCATTTGTAACTATTAATTCAAGATTGAATAATTGTTACAGAGACAGCAGAAATATTTTGTTAACTGATTTATGTGTAGTATAAAACAAAAGGACAACTAGTAATCAAATACTTGTCATTGCAACCATTTATACACCCCCATACACAAACTAGGTGACTCTGGGTAATGTTCAATAATTGATTGAATATCCCTGTTTGGTTTTACTAAACAACTATTGTGAGCCGTGGTGGCGCAGTGATTAGAATGCAATATTGCAGGCTAACTGCCCATTGACAGGAGTTCGATCCTAACAGGGCTCAAGACTGCCTCAGCCTTCCAAGGTTGGTAAAATGAGGACCCAGATTGTTGGGGGAAATAAGCTAGCTCTGTAAACCGCCCAGAGAGTGCAGCAAAACACAATGGGACGGTGTATAAGTCTAAGTGCAATTGCTATCCAATCTTCCTATGAAATCCATTCACGTACTCTTGAGAAGTAGAAAACTGAAACAATGCAATCATCGCTGTACCCAGTGTGAGGAAGCACACTTCCTCTTACAGAGAGTATAATATGAATTTAGTATGCTGTGTAGATTCACATATGGTGTCTTCCTAAGAGAGTCTGTCCAATTCATTTTTACAGTTGAATTAAACTGGTATCTGTAATCCTATCTAATGATAAAAAAAATCCTGACTATGCATGGAATGACTACTCCCTTTCTCCAGTTTCCAGTACAGCATTAATAGAGATAAACAAAAAAAACCTATATAGTCATGTGTTCTCACCGTGGGCAGATGATCTTTCAGCTAGCCTTTGACAATTATATTCTATGCTTTTATGAAAATAACTTCTTTCAATACATCAGTCACACCTCTTCTTAATTGCTTTTTTACTTTTACTTTTTACTTTTACTTTTGATTTCCCAACAATGTTAATATCCTTTTGCGTTCTTCTTCCACATATTATTTTTTTAGCAAGATTTATGAAATCTACATAGACAAAAGGACATCATTTTGGTTGAGTTGGAAAAAAAAGACTCTTACCTTGCTTCCTGGACTTTGCTTTCATCAGGATTAAGGCACTGATATTCTTGTATATAACCCTGGGAGCAGTTGATTTTTGTAAAGTCTGGCGTACAGACTGCAATGAAATTAGGTCTCAGGCGTCCCACCGACACTTTGGCAATATCAGTAAAGGACTGACTGATAGCACAGCCAAATGCAAAGCAGCCCACTTGCTTGTATAATGCTGCAATGTATGGGTTCTGGATAAAAGACCGAGATTTCTCCTTCAGGCAGTGGATCCGATAGAACTCTCCTATAATAATCTGCAAAAAAGAAAGGTGTATTTTTTTTTAAAAAAGCTATCATTTGGAAAGGATATTCAGTCTTATTGAAGACTATATAGCTTTAACACAATAGCTTATTACAGTGTAACTGCTGAAATCTGTTCACCAAATGATTTATTAGTAACAAATTATTGGCAGCAACTAGTTGAACTTGGCTGATAGCAAAAAGGTAATCTGGACTGGATCCAATATATTTTTGGGGAGGTCACATGGAAATAGCAGGCTGTGGATTTGAGAAAGCATCCAGAAAAAGGAAATAGCATATTGTTGCCAAGAAAACTACAGACTGTCTTTCCTCACCGGTACTGAAGTTGACTTGAAGGAAATTTTAAGGTGATTTGCCTCTTCTATTAAGTCACAATTTTCCATTTAACAGTGGAAAAATATAGCCAATAAAGTGAGAATCATCACAGGCAGAAAAATAGATTGTAAAAGTAGATTAGCTCAAATTAAGAGTTTTGAACTGTTCATCTAACAACTAGTAGCATATTTCAGAATGCTAAATGTGCTCAGGCACTTTTTTTCCATATAGGTTTGCTTTTTAAATATACCATCAAAGCCATGAAGAATTCAATCAAGCCTCCCAGTGTGGTTTTGAGTCCTTATTCTTGCAGATATTGAAATCATACACTCACACTGGTTGCCCAAACATCTACTTGTGTACCAAACAGTTTCATATTTTTGCCAGTGTCTGGGACAGTGATCTCTTTGCCTGAACATCTGATGGTTTTTCTAATATGGTCTTTTTTATTTTTCGAAATGATTTGCAAATCTTCATTTACATACCAAATACTCAAATCTAACCCAAGAGTACTCAATGCCTCAGGCATGATGATGAACACTTACTACTAATTTTCCAGTTGGCCTACCAGCTAACATAAGAGGGTATTCAGGGCAACAAATTAACCACATTATTTTACAACTTCATAATGAAGCAGCTGTTTTCGGCAGTAGTTTGGAACGGCAGCAGTGAAGACCATTATCTATCCTGATCCACTGACCAACCAACTCAATTCCAACTAATAGTAGCACCAGTCCATCTGAAATTAAATCCAGACCTTCACCCTGTGTATTATAGATAGCGTTTTCTACTAATATTGAGGGGAAGATGATGTGAAGTGAAGTAACAGTTATGGATGTACTGACCTAGAAGAAGATGAAGGCTAAGAGATACTTATGTTTACTTCTCAGATATTAATTTGTAGATGGGAGTGTCTACTGCAGTGTTTCTCAACCTTGGCAACTTTACGATGTGTGGACTTCAACTCCCAGAATTCTCCAGCTAGAGTTGCTAGCTGGAGAATTTTGGGAGTTGAAGTCCACACATCGAAAAGTTGCCAAGGTTGAGAAAAACTGGTCTACTGGCACATGGGTTTGCTCCTCTGATTTTGTGTGTTAACCTTGACTGTATTAGTTCCTCTTAAATGCTCTGAGTATCTAACTAGTTGCAGCAGGTAGCTTATGTTTATTAATGTACTGCCAAGCTATCACGTCATCCTTTCTATGAATAAACACAGTGCTTTGTTTTTCTCTTCTATGAATCAGATTTTCTCTCTGCTCCTCCCGCTAAGAACTTATATGGCTTTTTTAGTGTATTGACAAAAAGATGTGATTTATCAAAAAACTGTTTCTAATCCCATTACAGTAAATACTGCTCATATATAGACAATTCTATTTATCAGAAAAAGAGCCACTCATTCAGTGGAACTAGTATATAGTACTTTGGGCTGCCTGTTTCAGCTTCAATATATCTGAACAAATTAGCAGGGGGCTACTGTAGTTCACAAAACATATTTATTTTATTGCTTTCCAGAGTCTGTATGGGACAAGTAATAAAGATTTGCTTAAATGAGTCACTGTCATGCTAGTTTTAGATCATCTTGAAGAACAAATCTGTGCTCTATTGACCAGTGAAATGACAAATCTCCATATTCTTCATGTTCGTACTTACTAAACCCATTTTTCTGTATGACAATGTGATTATTCTGAAGAATAAAATGAAATCCTCCACTCTACCTCTGTAGCTCTACTCTGCTTAGTGTGGTTAAAGATGCTACAGGTGTGGTTTGTGGTCCACATCACCCACATAGCTGGAATTCTTACATCTACTTCATTTTGCTGAATCAGACATTTCTGTGCAACCTACAAATGTGTGTTGGGGGAGAGTACTGTTTTATTTTTATACTCATATTTCAGGTGTTTTATACATTTGAATTAAAGAGTTCACATGACACAAATGTGGTTGGGTTATTTCCCAGACACTGAATCTGATCTTGAAAAGAGAACATACATATCAGGATAGAAACAGACAATACTTCAGAGCAATTTATTGATCCCCAAACTATAAGTATAATGTGGGTTTGATATTAAATCAGAAGGCTCTGTAAGACCTTGTTACTGTTTTAAGAGTTGCAAACTTTAGGATTATCCTGATATCTTCGTTCCAGGTCTTAACCTACAGGCGATGACAACCCTGGAGAAACATAATTAGAAAAACTAGTCCAGCTGGTTTCATTTGAACATGCCATGTACTGCCTATTACCCGAAAGCAACCAAATAAAATAAAATCAAAAAGGTGTGGGCGTTTCTGGCATCATTACACCACTTATTGGACAATTGCTTTTCAGAAATTGCAAAATATAAGCTTCAGGTGTAGTCGAGAATTGCAAGTAATTCCACAGGCACAACAGTTCCTAAACTAATCCTCTGAGTTCAAGCTTGCCTTCTGGATTGAGAGCTTTTAAAATGCTACTATTATAACTGCACCCAAATGTCTAAGCCCGTGTTTCTCAACCTTGGCAGTTTGAAAATTTGTGGACTTCAACTCCCAAAATTCCTCAACAATGTCAAGGTTGAAAAACAACAGTCTAAGTCAGAGGTGGGCAACTATGGCAACTTTATGACTTGTGGACTTCCCAGAATTCTTGAAACATCCATGGTGACACAGGAATTTTGGGAATTGAAGTCCACAGATCATAAAGTTGCTATAGTTACCCAACCTGGTCTAAGCCACAGGGAGATTTATCTTCCATGTATGCCCACAACAAATCTTATTTATCTTATCTTCCTGTTTAAGAATGTTACGAGTGGTGGTTGTCCTCTCATCTCCAGTTTTATTTTACAGTGTTTAAAGAAGCACTTTCTTTATAGCTCCTAAATATCTTTAGGTTTAGTTTTAATTGATTATTTTATCATATAACTTATTCTAAGGCAAAACCGCAAACTATCCTGAAAAAGACTTCATGGTTGAGTCTCATTTCTATTATACCACAGGCCACATAATAGTGGGGGGGGGGGGAATAATCCTGAATCGTTAAAAATGTTCTTAACTAATAGTGTTGTTTATATTGATTCTGCTTATAATTCTAATGTATTGGACTAAAATTCCATCATTTTCTGCTAGCTGAGATAATGGGATTATAATAATTTAATAATAAACATTAATTTGTATGCACTCAGGCCTGAATGAACATAGGGCGATCCCAACGATCAAAGGCATTACAATAAACCATAAAAATAAAGAAAAACATGGAAAGTATGATAAAACAAAGGATCTCACTGTCCCTCGTCAAAGGGCTGGGTGAAAAACTAGGTATTCACAGCTCATCTAAACAACGGCAGAGTGAAGGCCAACTGCATCTTAGAGAGAACCTTGTTCCAGAGGATAGGCACCAAGCTGTCTTGGGAGTACCAGATTAAGGACATTTAAAACAAGATATAGTCACACTAAATATCTGTGACCTTTTGCTTACACTGTAATGTGTAAGCATTACAAGGCTATCTGAGTATTTACTCAGACCATCAACAATAATTTTCTACTAAAAGCCTCATTATATGGAGCCATGACATTTAGAAAGGCCATTTCAAAAAGAAATTTGTTTTGTGGCATTATTTAGAAAGCACAGTGAAATTAATCAGGCAAGGGCTTCATTTTCGGAGCACTATAAATCAGCATTTATAGCTTGCCTCCCAATTATATGCTTATGTCATCCAGTTGCTATATAGTTTTGGATAGAGGACTGGAAATGAAAAGAGGGTCACAAATCTGCAATTTCCTGGAAGTATATGAGACAGAAAAGGGAATATTTAAGTTAGGGTACGTGCTTCAAGATGGATGACATGATCAAAGCAAATGATTGTGTGTAAGGATCAAGCAAGCACAGAAGCAATGCTAAAATATATTATTTTATAATACAATAAACTTGCATTACAACTTGAAATGCAATCAGCATAGGCATATTTGAATAAGAGTTTTCATCTCTTGATGGTGTTTACATTCAATTATTAGTACAATGGTCCTTACGATCATGGATGAATTCATACTTGCTCATATTTTTCTGTTGCTTCCGATAGGTAGCATGCTTTTATTAGCACAATTCACAAGCTTTAATTAGATTATTTCCACATCTACAGGAAGTGCCTAGGACTTAATAGTAATACTATACATTGCCTGTATAAACCTGCTTGCCTAGCATCTTTTAATTTCAAAAACTGAAGACAGTTTAATAAAAATACACAGTTTAATCAAGTCCAAATGTTTATTCTCAATGAAAGGGAAACATAAGTTTAATTACTTTTTGCCGTATTTTCAAAATAGGTGATCTGAACTCCAATTTTACTAATTACTTCTAGTGAAACTAAAACATGGAACTAAAAAAACCTAAAACTTTTAAAATGCCTCAAGCAAAAGAGAAAGATATTTTTCAAGAATTAAGTCTACTTTAGAGATACAAAGTGAGAATCAATGGATTACACTACTTCTAGGAAACTGTATTTATGTTTACTGTTATTTCTGAAGGAAACCTATGATTTGGTCTTCAATGTCTTAATTTCTAAAGTTGTCTTTAATCCTAGCAGAATTCCAAACATTCCACCATGAAAGAAGAATCTGAAAAATCAATGTAGCATCGAATGATAAAATGAAAAGTCAATATGCCAAAGCCATAAAACAACTAAAAGAAACAAGAGGAAATAAACCA